CCCTCTCTCGCTGTGTCAAAAAAAAAAAAAAAAGAGTAGTTGTCTTCTAGAGCATAGGACAGTATAGAGTAGGTACTCTGAATGAATGAATGAACGAATGAATGAACGAATGAGTTCTGTCACATTCATGAGCCTCAGTGTGCCCATCTATAATATTGAGATAATAATGCTTATTTAAAGGGTTGTTGGGATTAAATAAAATAATGCATATCAAGTGTAAAGGAAAAATACTCCTGTTTTTCCTCTACTTTCAATACTTCTGATGTCAGATGTGTGGGTTTTCCACACACCAAACAATTCTGAGATTCTCCAAACACCAGTTGGATTTCCTACAATTTAACCCAATTCTGATACGTCTGCCTAGAGTTAATAGCAGATGCCACATGTTAAGGGCTGAGTCCCACATGACTATTCCCCTTCAGACACCAATTGCAAGTTTTGGTTATCATGTGTGCTTCTGACCAGTGGGCTGTAAATCCGAGGTTCCCAGGAACCCCTCCTTGGGTTCGATTAATTTGCTAGAGCAGCTCGCATAATTCAGGAAAACATTTTACATATTACATACATAATTCAGGAACAGCCAGATGGAGGAGATGCCCAGGGCAAGGTATGTAGGAAGGAGCTCGGACACCCTCCAACACCCGCCCTGTATCTTCACCTGTTGACCAACTCAGAAGCTCATCAAATGGAGTTCAAGAGTTTTTATAACGCTTAATCTTAATGGGCAGTGCCTATCATCCCTGCCCCCCACCGCCATTTCCCTAAAGTCAGTGGGTGGGGCTGAAAGTTCCAACATAATCACTTGGTAGTTCTGGTGACTAGCCCCACCCAACCTAAGGCTATCTAGCTCTAACTCACCCTAATAGCATAAACTCAGTGTATTCAGAGGGGCTCTTTATGGGGCACCTGGGTGGCTCAGTCTGTTAAGCAGCTGACTCTTGATGTTGATCTCAGGGTCCTGGGATCAAGCCCTCCATAGGGCTCTGCACTAGGCTGGGAGTCTACTAAGGGATTCTCCTCTCTCTCCCTCTGCCCCTCTCCCTGTGTATGCGCGAGTACGCGTGCTCTCTCTCTCTCTCTCAAATAAATCTTTTAAAAAAAAAGGGGGATCTTTATGAATAACAAACGACACTCCTGTTGTGCACAATATTCCAAGGGTTTTAGGTGCTTTGTGTCAGGAACTGGGGACAATGACCAAATGTATTATTTATTATATCATGTCAAGTACCTAGCCCAGTGTCTGGCACATAATAAATGCTCAATTAATGCTAATGTCTGCCCTCTTATAAATTATTTGTATGGCTAGCCAGTTGATAGCTCTAGTGGTATCCTGATTCCAATTTGACTGAGATAAGAGGGGAAATTCCACATGTTAGTGATGAAAAACTGTTACCTATCTTATAGAATGCTGTCTTAGCAAAATGCACTCATTATGGTGCTTACATTTTCCTGTGGAACCATTAAGCTAAAAGTAACCTCACTTAATAGAATAATTGATGTATTTTAGGAATGGTCAAAAGGCAAAATTTTAATCACTTGAACACTATATTTCCATTATAAAATTAGAGTTACATTTTTGCTAAACAAAACAAAAACATGGTCTCAAAATAAGATAAAATCATAATTTGAAGTGCTACAAGTTTATATATTCTTTTTTTTTTTAAAAGATTTTATTTATCTATTTGACAGAGAAACACAGCGAGAAAGGGAACACAAGCAGGGGGAGTGGGAGAGGGAGAAGCAGGCTTCCGCGGAGCAGGGAGCCCGATGTGGGGCTCGATCTCAGGACCCTGGGATCATGACCTGAGCCGAAGGCAGACGCATAACGACTGAGCCACCCAGGCGCCCCAAGTTTATATATTCTTGACTTTGGGATTTTTTTGCTTTGTAACACCCATGATGTAGTGATTTCGGCTAGACAGAAATAACTCATACATATTTCTAAGGACTAGGTTGTTCAATTGCTACTTAGGAGTAGAGTCACCAGCAATCAATTAGATTTTGCTTAATCATTGTTTCTTATCAGACTTAGAGGCTATTAACTCATCAGTGTTTGTGTAAGGTAACTTGGTATTTCATAAACTTCAGTTTGCTTTTTAACTACTCTCTCTCTCCCTTTTTTTAAGATTTGTGTGTTTGTTTTAGAGAGAGAGCATGGAGGGGCGGGGCAGAGGGAGAGGGAGATAAAAGCAGACTCCCCGCTGAGCTCAGAGCCAGTCCGCGATCCCGGGACCCTAAGATCATGACCTGAGCCAAAATCAAGAGTTGGACTCTTAACTGACTGAGCCACACAGGCACCCACCTTTTTATTACTCTTGGTGACCAGATTAAGAGCAAGATTATGATTGAACCTTAAATTTTGTTATTTTAAGGAACACCCTGTCCTAAGTTCTAATAAGTGAAGGTTTTTTCTTACTGGATATGGAAGCATTGTATGTACATTTTCCCTATAATATATACAAATGATGTAATATACATTGGTTTCCTCCTCATCTTCCACTAAGCCAGTCATCTAGCAGTCTGGTATCTCACAAGTGAAACTTTGGCATTAATGCTGAGAGAATAGGAAAGGCCCTCACAAAGGAGACTGTTTTGGCTGGAAGAGTCATATACCTATTGTGTTATGTTATCTCTTGAAGTTCTGGTGAAATTTGAAGATAATCGTGTTTCCTCTGGGCAAGGAGTACTCTATTGTTATGTCTGTACTCCAGCAACTTGGAATAGAAGTTCGTGAATGCTCTTCAGAAGCAAAGCAAGCAGGGGTGCCTGGGTAGTGCAGTCAGTTGAGCACCTCTGATTTGGTTTTGGCTCAGGTCGTGATCTCGGCCGTGAGATCGAGCTCAGCATCAAGCCCCATGTCAGGCTCTGGGCTCTGCATTCCTCAGAGTCTGCTTGGAGTTCTCTGATCCTCTCCCTCTGCTCCCCTCTGCCCCCCACACGCACACGTGCTCTCTCTCTCTTTCAAATAAATAAATCAAGCAAGCAAGCAAGCAGACAACAACAAAGAAATACAAGAAAATTCCAACCTCTACAAATGAATGAATGAATGAATCTAACTCCTTCATCCTCCCACCCAACCAGAAAAAGAACAGAACGCAGGACACAAAAGAAATCAAAAGGTCAACTACACTTCAAAAAAGCCCACAAAAAACCCAAAAATATTTAGAATAAGAAAAAAAAAAGATATCAACGCTCTATTTCTGATGCACAAATCAGTGAGGTGCAGGGCTATTCACATTCCCAGGCAAGCTGGTGTTAGAGTGTTTCTCCTTATTGGTAGATGATCAGTTCCTCTGGACCTCTGCTTTCCTAGTCCAGGGCTAGAGGCCTAAACATCTAGAATTCAAACATGAACTTTTCTAGTCTTAGCAAAACATCTAGGAAAAGATAGAGAATGTTATCTGAACAAAACCATATATTTGACTGTAAACAACATAGTTAAAAGAACATAGGCCTTGGAGTTCAATGTATTTGGGATTGAATTTTTTGCTCTGTTACTTAATAATTGTGTACTCTTATATAATTAACTTATGTAAATGTAACTTATATAGCTTATCTAAATATATTTCCTCATCGGCAAAATGAAGATATACCTACTTCAGACTGTTGCTGTGAAAATTAATAAAATAATGTATACAGAGCTCCTAATATAAAAGCTCCTGGCACATAGAGGTGTTCAGTCAGTGGTAATTTATTATTATTATTTTTTAATGGTAATTTGTTATTAATAACAAATGTACATTGTCTTTCCAAAAATGTTTGCTATAGAAAAATTATTGTGTTATGAATTTAAATTTTAATTGTTGCGAGTTGATATTTGGTAGTAAGGCCCTTTCAAAGGTGTTGAAATTTTTTTTTTTTTTTAAAGATTTTATTTATTTATTTGAGACAGAGAGAATGAGAGACAGAGAGCATGAGAGGGGGGAGTGGGAGAGGGAGAACCAGGCTTCCGGCCGAGCAGGGAGCCCGATGTGGGACTCGATCCCAGGACCCTGGGATCATGACCTGAGCCGAAGGCAGACGCCCAACGACTGAGCCACCCAGGCGCCCCAAAGGTGTTGAAATTTTAAACTAGTTGAAATTTTAAACTAGATTTCCATGGGAAATCTGGAAAATTTTGAAAGTTCTTTGGGAATGATGAACAAAACTGCTACCCTTTACTTGGTGACACAGTTATCTATAGGAGAAAGGTGAACCTCGTAATTAGTTTTAGAAGGGAATGTATATGCCAAATTTTTTATCATAACATGCTTTCTGTTAGTTGCATGTACTTATTCAGGATGTGGAGAGAGACTAGTGATTTGAGAAGTAGGTTGCTCATGATGAATGTATTTTTCTTTTAAATAAATCTTTTCCCCCCCTCTCCCCAGCTGCTCAGATAAAGAATTTGATGAGCCAACTAGGAACTAAGCAGGACTCAAGCAAGCTACAGGAAAATCTGTGAGTAGCTTCCTAATGTGTTGGGTTCTGTGAGGGCCCTTTGAGGACACATCCACTGTCCTTGCTGCGTGGCAGCTTAGGTTTCCGGCCTATGGACTCAGAATGACAGGCAGTGGGACATGAAGTAATAGCTGGATTTGGAAGAGGGGCAACAAAATATATTCATGGGTTGTGATCTCTGCTCCTTTCAAAATCTTCAAACTCGGATTCTTTCTTCCCCTTGGGCTGTTTAGCAGAATACTTTGAGGAAGTAGGGAAGGGAACTTTTACCACTGTTAAACTGTATTCTGCCTAAATGAGCCTCCTGTTGGCACAGGACTCCTGATGATCTGCAGAGCTCCTCTAGTCTGGTGGGATTTACAACTGTAAATATTAGAAAAATGTATTCACAATGATCTGAGGGGCGTCTGAGGGAGAGGAGAATGGACTGGTAGTAGGAACTCGTGATTCTTTTTATTACATCCTTTTTGACCCCATTTCTGCTTTTATTTTTTTTTATTTTTATTTTTTTAAAGATTTTATTTATTTATTTGACAGAGAGAGACAGCGAGAGCAGGAATACAAGCAGGGGAAGTGGGAGAGGGAGAAGCAGGCTTCCCGCTGAGCAGGGAGCCTGATGTGGGACTCGATCCCAGGACCCTGGGATCATGACCTGAGCTGAAGGCAGACGCTTAACGACTGAGCCACCCAGGCGCCCCCATTTCTGCTTTTTGAAGTTCTATTCTTCATCTTTAAAATATACTGAATGATATTCTTTGTTTCCTGTCCTAGCCAGTGTGAAGTGAGAGAATGACTTACTACTTTGAACTTTTTCCAGGGAGATGTGAAAAATCTTTGGATGTTTTAGTAACGTCTGGGAGGTACAGTCTCCTGTTTGACTGCCTCTTGTTTTTTGACTCCCTTGTTTTTTCTCTGGGAAGCCCCTGTGGAGTGAAAAAATGGTAACGATTAAGTAGTATGGTTTCTCTGTCCTCTCTCAAAACTGTTGTAGAAATAGCCGCGGAGTAGAGGAAACCATGACTAAAAGGGGCTCTTTTTATGTTTCCACTACTTTCCAATCCCACTTAATAGAATGCATATTCTTCCCTCTTTAATATTCTTCCCCTTATACTCCTTATATGTTTTTATGCAGTACAGGGCTTCTTTGTTTTGGAGGGAAGAGCCAGAAAGTTGAGCATGAAGGACGATAGGGAGCCAAGAATAAAGCTGAAAAAGTGCCAGCTTTAAGCAAGAACGTGGGAGTAGATCTTTGGAAGTTGTTCCCTAGGGTAGAAGCTGTGGTTTTAATGCACATTTCATCCAACCCCCAGTGTCTGAATTCCGTCTCTAGTCAGTGGCCTGTGACAGACAGCAGCTAGGCAGAACTGCTGGGCAGTGGGTGGGAGAGTTTTGTGAGACCTTGGTGTGTTCAAACTATTAGGTTTAGATGTGGGGGGCAGTTGCTCTTATATTTCTATCAGAACTGCTGATAGGCATTTCTTTTCTCCCCAAAGAGTTAAAATACCTGATCAGCAGGTTTCACTGAGGTAGGTTCTTTCTACTGAGTAACATGAAGATGCCTTGCGGTGGGTTTGACTGAGTCGTATTTCTGGATTTTTTTTTTTTTGTGAACCTGGGCCTCTGGGAACCCATTCCTTCAAGTACCCCTTTCATTCCCTGCACTGGGGCACTCTGAGAACTAACTGTACTAACTGTAACAGCTCTCAAGGAGTGGGAATATCCTGAAACGTGTCTTTTCTCTCTTAGGCAACAGTTACAGCACTCTACAAATCAGCTCGCCAAGGAAACAAATGAATTACTGAAGGAATTAGGGTCCTTGCCTCTTCCCTTATCTGCTTCAGAACAGGTTGGTATTTTCTGGTGTGTGTGTTTGTTTAATAGGAAAGGACTTTGTTTTAATGGGAAGGCAGTGTGTGAAACAAAAATAACTTGGTCTTTGGTGCTAGGTAGACCTTCTCTGACCCTCACTTTCCTTATCTGTAAAATGGGATTATGTGACTGTTGTGACAGTAGAAAGAATGTATGCACCGGGTCTTGCAAAGTGCTTGGCATTTAGTAGTAATCAGTATCTGCTGCTATTATTAATAATAACATACTAACATATTGATAAAATGAGCTTAACTGGTAAACATTCTCAATGTTTGCATCTCTGGGTTTTGGCCAGCAGCTTTATGTTTGCAGGCTTGGCCCTAGTTTGTTTTGTAGTCAGTTTCTATAAATTTTAATCAAATGTTTTTGCTTTCTATTTTGCAGTCACTTTCATGTCCCATCATGAGTTATTCATAGGTTTCAGGTTGAAGAAATGCCCAGGGGAAAGGATTTCTCTTTTCAAGTTATTTTATTCAGTGGTCACACAATTTTTAACTGGAGTTCATTGTTCCCTTGATGTGCTGGGCCTTTTCTTCACACATTCCTGAAGTCAGTGTGCCTCCTCCTTTATTGTGGCTTGACCTGTTTTACTTGTCATTCATGGTCTACCTCAAATCCTCTCTCTTCCAGGAAAAAAAAAAAACCTTCTCCATCTACCTTAGCCTACTGTGATTCCATTTTTCTTTTAGCTTCTCTACCATTTCTGGGAGCACTTGACTTATTTTGCTTTTTATTATTGATTTTTTTCTGATGATGTCCTATTCTCTGATGGCTATAAAGACAAAGCCTACAACTTCCCTGTTCTGGGTTGTTTTTCATTCTGTGAGTTGTGCCTAGTTGTAACATGAAATAATTTTAGTGTGCTGTAATCATCATTTAAAAAATAGAGTAGAGTAGGAATATCAGAATGTATACCATGTAATAAAGGGAACTATTATTACAGGAAGCTTTCATTTCATACATATGTGTATATATGGAACTAGGTCAAGATGTCACATTATTTCTGCATGTCTCCATCAAAAAAAGTTTGAAAATGTTAGTTTAACCCATACCTGGCAAAACTGTTTAATGAAGCAGATGTTTAGTCTTTGGAGTTCTGGTGCCCCCTTGCACAAAAGAGAGGAGCCAAGACTAGATGCTTTGTCATTGTGCTACAAAGCAGCTCTGATAAAAAGTAATCTTAATGTAATCACCTTTGGTCGCCCATGGGTGTGCTGTTGTTATTCATGCTGATATTTCACTTAGAGACCAGTTCCCCTTGCCATCCAGTATCTCCAATAAAAATCACCCCTTCCCTCCTCCCAGCTGGGCACTTAGGGAATACATGCTTGTGGATGGTTTTAGTAATAAAAAGAGAGTCTAAGGATCTTGATGAAAACAGAGTGTTGAAAGTACTTAAGAGTTAATAGCTTAAGCAAAAATAAATAGAAAGTTAAATCTGCTACCAAAAGAGAGAGAGAGAAGGATTTAATGTATTCCAAAATCAAATAGAAGTTATTTTTGGATCATCCATGCCATTGTTCCCCTCCATTACATTGGATCATTAAGAACACGAAATAGATCTACACATAATTCCTTGATTCCTTCCCCTGTTGTGCTGAATACCGTTTGCCCTTTCGATTCTTTCTTCATCTAATCAATCTTAGCTTACCACCATCTTTTTGCTCCTGTCCTGTATATCAGACCGTATATCCTCCTTTCAGTCTTTTTTCATATTCATGTGCTATCATCAGTGATCTTCTCATTGCCAAATCTAGTGGGCTTTTTTGAGCTTTTATTCACTTTTCTGTCTCATTTGAAACAGCCCATCCCATCTCTACTGAAACGGTTTTCTTCTTTCCATGATCCCCTTTCAGTGTGTCTCCGGACTCTGGTATCCTTTGCTGGCCTCTTTTCTCTTTCCCCAGGTGGAGTTTCAGCCTCCTTCTCTGACTCTCTGTCTTCCTAGAAGTAGGCATGTCCCAAGGCTCTGCCATTGACCTCTCATTTTCTTAGTCTCTGCTTTCTCTCTCAGGAGGCTTATCTATTTTTATGAGTTCCCTGGCACCTTTATGAACATGACCCCCAGCTCTTTTCCTGGCTCTAGCCCTTAACCTCTAAGGACTAGGCCCATATTGCCAATTCCTACTCTAATATCTCCTCTTGAATATACTGCCTTCATCTAAAATTTAATGTGTTGTCTTATACTGAATTCCTCCCATTTCACCCAAATCCCTTAACTAAGCTGATTGATAATACTGATTGTCATAAAAAAAGTTTGTGCCTTTTGACCTAATATTCCCACTCATGCAAATTTGTCCTAAGGCAAAAAGGTTGGAAGAAAAAAAAACTGTAGTCTGGAAGTGGATTTCCTGTATTTAAATTCTACCCCTTCCGGGGCGCCTGGGTGGCTCAGTCGTTAAGCATCTGCCTTCGGCTCAGGTCATGATCCCAGGGTCCTGGGATCAAGCCCTGCATCGGGCTCCCTGCTTGGCGGGAGGCCTGCTTCTCCCTCGCCCACTCCCCCTGCTTGTGTTCCTGCTCTCACTATGCCTCTCTCTGTCAAATAAATAAATAAATAAAATCTTTAAAAAAAAAAAAATTCTACCCCTTCCACTTACTGACTGTGTGATCCTAGGCAAATTACTTAATTTCTTTGTGCCTTGGTTTTCTGATCTGTAAAATAGGGACTATAATAGTACCTAACTTATAGGTTGTTGTATAGATTAAAGTATTATGTTAAAGTACTTATAACCGTACTGGTACATAGTAAGCACTGTATTAATATTAGCAATTACAGTGGGGTTCACATTAGCTTTATTTATAATAGTTAAAACCTGGGAAGAATCTAGAAGGAATGTTTACATAAATTTTACTAGATCAACTTGATAGAATATTATGTAACAAAGACCATAATTGTGAAGAGTATGATAACATGGAAAATGTTTATGATATACTTAAAGATAGTATTTTTGTGGGGCACCTCGCTGGCTTAGTTGGTGGAGCATACAACTCTTGATCTCAAGGTTGTGAGTTCAAGCCCCACATTGAGCATGGAGCCTACTCAAAAAAAAAAAAAAAGAGTGAAAAGAGCCCTAAT